TTTTTTTTTAAGCTATGTTCATGATACCAAGCTGCAATTTTCTTTCCTAGTAATATCTTTATCAACTTTCATTATAATGATTGGCTTGCTACTTTAGACAGCCTTTTGACGCTATGACCACAATATCCAATAAGAACAGTTCAGAGAAGGAAAAGTTTATTTGAGTCTCATGGTTTCAGAGGTACCAGGTCCATAGAAGCCAACTCTTATGCTCTTGGCTCAAGGTGAGGCAGCACATCATAGGGTTAAGTGCCCAGTGGAGGAAAACTCCTCAGCTTTTAGTGGTATAAGAAAGTGGAGAGGCGAAAGGGGCTGCAGGGAAGATGTACCCTTCCAGGGCATGCCCCCAGTGACCCAACTCCTCCAGCCACACCCCACCCGCCTATAGTTATCACTCAGTCCATTCAAATAAGGATGATTAGGTCACAACTTGCATAATCCAATCATTTTACATCTAAATATTGCTGCATTAGCAGGAGCTTTTAGGGGACAGTTCAAATCCAAACCATAACACTTGGCTTCATTGAATGGGTTGATAAGTATTTATTTTTATGTTCCAGAAGGATTTATATAAGAATTTTAATTTTTATTCCTTGAATGTTTTAAACAGTTCATTAGTGAATCCAGTTGGGCTTGGAGTTTTCTTACAGGTTTAATTTTTTTCATAGTTCTGAGAATAAAGTTTTTTTGTTTTGTTTCTTGTTTCAGTTTTAGTGAGTTGTGTTCTTCAGGTAATTTTTTTATTCTCTACTGCATTGAAGTAAAATTGATCATATAATCCTGAGAATCTTTTTAATGTCCATAGACTGTGTAATCTTTTTACGTCTGTAGACTTTCTAGTTATAACTCTTCTGTTTTTTCTTGATCAGTCTTGTTTAGGGATTACTCATTTTATTAGTCTTTCAAAGAATCAACTTTTGTCTTTCTTTGTTTCCTCTATTGTATATTTGCTATTTCATTATTAATTAAAAGTTTTCTTTACATTTTCCTTGAATTAATTTACTATTTTTTCTAGCTTGTTGTCGTGGAAACTTAGTATATTGGTTTTTAAATTTGTGTTATTTCCAGTGTTATGCATTTATAGCTATGAATTTTGCTCTAAATAGTGCTTTAGGTGTATCCCACACATTTGTGTCTGTTCTATTTTCAGTATCATTCAGATAAAAATATTTTCTCATTTCCATTGTGATATCATATATTTGATATGAGTAATTCAGAATTGTGTTTCTTGAGTTCTAGACATTGGGAACATATCTAGTTGTCTTCTAGTACTTGATTTTTTCGTGTGATTCTGTGATTGTTACAAAGTATGTAATTCATAGTTTAAATTCTTTGTATTTGTTGAGAGTTGCATTGTCTGGCATTTAATCTCTTTAATGTTTTATGTGAGCTTGAAAGAATGTGCATTCTCTAGTTGTTGGATTTAATGTTCTATTGGAATTTTTGAAATTGGAAAATTGTTTGTATCTATATATCATGATTGTTTTTGCTTATTCTACCAGTTACTGAGAAGGGTTTGTTAAAATTGTCAGCTGTGAGTATGGATTTATCTACTTTTCGTTCTTTCAAATTTTGCTTTATGTATTTTAAAAACCATTATTTGTTGCAGTACTGGGGATTGAATCCAGGGCCTCACATATTAGATGAGTGAGGGGCTTCCCAGTCCTTTATTTTGAGACAGGGTTCTCACTAAGTTGCCCAAGCTACCCTTAAACTTGTGATCCTTCTGCCTCAGCCTCCTGAGGGGAGTAGCTGGGATTACAGGAATGTGCTACCATGCCTGGGTCCTTTCTTTTAAAAATACTTCTTTTGTCTCTGTCTCTATTTCAATATCTCTCATTTATTTCTGAGTCAACAATTTTGACATGTGAGACATTTTATTTAGTTACTTTTATGTTGTCTTGTACAGTTTTTCTCCTTTTTTCTTTTTATAGTTCAGTATAATTATTTTCTACTCTATTCCAGTTTACTAACCTCCCTTTAACCATGTCCATTTAACTCTATCTAGTGAGTTAATTTCAGATAATTTTCAGTCTTAGAATGAACATTTGTTTTTAACAGATTCCAATTCTCTTGTTGAAATTCTTCATCTTTTTATCTCTTTTTACTGATTTTCATATTTTTAAATCTATTTTTCTCTTTCATTTTATTGAATTTGTAAATCATAAATGTTTTAAATTTAACTGAAATCTTATTACCAGTTTGTGTATCTCTCTTTCCCCTTGCTTTGCCCTGGCAAGTAATTACTTGTAATCCATCTGATCTTGGAGAGGGCTTTCTTTCTATAGAGCAGAGGCTAGTTGGTTGCCCGCCCTGAAACTTCACTTATATGATGTATTCTAGAAAATTATGATTGTTGCCTTTTCTTCTTGTTGGACTGGTGTGGTTCTGTTTATAGCTTAGTACATCATAATAGAAGCTACATTATAAGTAATACAAGTAACAATAAGTGTTGGTGAGGATGTGGGGAGAAAGGTATTGTCATACATTGTTGGTGGGACTGCAAATTGGTGTAACCACTATGGAAAGCAGTATGGAGATTCCTTAGAAAGCTTGGATGCAGTTTTCCCACTCCTCTGTCTATACCAAAGGACCTAAAATGAGCATACTACAGTGACACAGCCACATCCATGTTTATAGTTAAAACTCACAATAGCCAAGCTATGGAAACAAGCTCGGTGTCCTTCAACAGATGAATGGATAAAGAAAATGTGGTATATAGAAACATGGGATATTACTCAACCATAAAGAAGAATGAAATTATGGCATTTACCAGGAAATGAATGAAACTAGAAAATATCATGCTAAGTGAAATAAACCAATCCCAGAAACCAAAGGCCAAAAATTCTCTCTGATTTGTGGATACTAACCCCAAACAAGGGAGGCCGAGGAGGGGAATAATAGAAATCCTTGGGACTAGACAAAGGGAAATGAAGGGAGGAATAGAAAAGGCTGTAGAATGAATTGGATATAACTTTCCTAGTCTTGTATTTGTATACATGACCAGGGTAACTCCGCATCATGTACAACCACAGAATGGAACCTAAATAGAATAAGTTATACTGTATGTATGAATATTCTGCCAAATATTAAAAAAAAATAGACCCTGCAAATGCACCATGGCCATTTTAACATCCCTTCCTGGTAAGGCTCAAATCTGAATTTATTGTGTATCTCTCTGTTTTGCTTTTGTTTCCCCAATTCCCCCCCCCCCCCTTACCTTTTTTGTTAAAGCATGACTCATAATGTTTACTTGATATAAGAAAATGTAGATGAAAATTTGCAGAGTCTGGGGAATGTTTTTTCCTCTAAAGAGAGCTAATTTTTCCTCTAGAACTTCTGATCTTGTCAAGGCTTAGTTTTACACTTATTGGAGTTTTCTTTTCTTTTCTTTTTTTTTTTTAAATTTTTATTTGTCCTTCCTCCTAAGATACTGCTTTTGTAGAGTCTGAGTTGAGGGCTCAGGGTTTTTAGTGCTCTTCTATCTTGGCAGGGCTTGTCAACTTCTGTCTTCTCAATGTTGCTGGACTGTTTTGTCTACTAGACTTTTTATTTAGTTTCTTATGGTTTTCTTGGTGTCTTTGACTACATACTTGTAAACTTGGGAAGCTGTTAATGATTTAAGAGGTTCTTTCTCTATAATTCTTTTTTTACACCAACTCCCTATCTGGTTTGATTAACCCTATGTATAATCTATACCTCCTCAGCCTGCTAAGATTATTTTATTATGCTTGGCTGTCTTTTCTATCATTGATTCAGAAATTTTTTTATATAAAATAATGATTAAATGTGGAATTTACTTTATTGGGCTTTCCTCCTTTCCAAGATTATAATCTTTGGGTGCCCAGCATCTCGGGAGGCTGAGGCAGGAGGATTTCAAGTTCAAAGCCAGCCTCAGCAACTTAGTGAGGCACTTAGCAACTCAGTGACATCCTGTCTCTAAATAAAATATATAAAAAAGGCTGGAGATGTGGCTCAGTGGTTGAGTGCACCTCTGGGTTCAATCCTTAGTACCAAAAAAATAAATTAAAAAAGGGTACAGGGGCAGGGGATGGGGTCCATACCTGTAATCCTAGTGGCTATGGAGACTGAGGCAGAAGGGTCATGCCTTCAATGCCAGCCTCAGCACCTCAGTGAGGCCCTAAGCAACTCAGTAAGGCCATGTCTCTAAATAAAATATGAAAAAGGGATGGGGATATGGCTCAGTGGTTAAGCACCCCTGGGTTCAATCCTTAGTACAAAAAAAAGAAAAAGATTGTAATCTTGGGAATCTCACTTGGATTGATTGCTTTCCTGTACCTTTGTACAAATAGTTTTATGTGTTGTCCAGCACACAGAATTGTTCTCATTGAGAGTGCTGGTTTAATGCTCTCTGCTCTATAGATTGGTACTGGAAATACCTTATTTCTTCTTCATCTTGCAGTTTTACTAAGCTTAGCACAGTTCTGTAGGTATTGATGCCAAGTAAATAATAGCTGTTGGAAATTTTTCTTGCTTTATATTGTGTTTAATAGTTAAAAATTATTTCATATATATAATTACCATCTATCAAAGAAGTTAAATAGCTCTAAGCCTTATTTTTATCTCCTGGAGTAAATTCAGGTGTTTGGTACATCATAAGAGATCTCTGAAAGCCATAGGAATGTAGGGTTGGTGCTAGCCACTTTAAATTGCTGCTTCTCTTCCTCTTCTTCCTCCTCCTCCTCCTTTTCCTCCTCCTCTTCTTCCTCCTCTTCCCCCTCCTTCCTCTTCTTCTCCTCCTCTTGTTCTTTTTAGTTATACATGACAGTAGAATCTATTTTGACATATTTATATAAACATGGAATATATCTTATTCTAATTAGGATCTCAGTCTTGTGGATATACATGATGTTGAGGTTTTAAGTTCTTTTAAGTAAGCCTAAAATCAAACACAATTTTTCTCCTCTTTGAATTGTGTTTATTGGAAAGATTTCATAGAAATGAAAATTCTTATCAGCATCTCTCGTTTTAATCTCTAGGAAGATGAAGTCCTCAGTACATTCTGAAGAGGATGATTTTGTTCCAGAACTGCATAGAAATGTTCACCCTCGAGAGCGGCCCGATTGGGAAGAAACACTTAGTGCAATGGTAAATCAGTTTTATACATATGTACACTGTACTTATACAAGTAAAAGGAAGTCGGGAAGCATACTCACAGAAGAAAGTGCAGTTTTTTTTTTGCTTGTTTATTCAGGAAATACTTTTTGAACAAATACTTGAATCCAGGCACTGCTCTAGATTCTGGGGAGAATAATAGGGTTATAGAGTGATAGGATATAGTGTGAAAGAATATTGCTGGTTACATAGGGTGGCCATAGATTGCCTCTATGAGGAAGTAAGATTTGAGCAGAGGCCTGAAGGATGTAATGAAGTAAGTACTGTGTTATTTGGGATCACATCATTTTAAGCAGTGGAAGAACAAGTTTAAGACTATGACATAGGATTAAAAAATAAGATGGAAGAAACACAAGTAACACAGTGTAACTGAAATTGAATGCTTCAGGGTAAGAAGAGGAGGAGATGAAGTTGAAGAAATGGTTTAAGTAGGTAGAAAGCAGATCCCGTGGTTTCTTGCAGTCCACTGATAAGGACTTCGTTGTGTATGCAGGATTTTAGTCAGTTTTCATGAAACCATAACCAAAATACCTGACAAGAACATCTTAAAGGAGGAAAAGTTTATTTGGAACTCATGCTTTCAGTCACTAGGCTGCTGACTCCATTGCTTTGTGCCCAAGTTAAGGTAGCACATTGTGGGGGAAGGGCCTAGGAAAGGAGAGCTGCTCAGTTCCTGTGGGATCAGGAAGCAGAGAGGGAAGAGGCTGTAGGGAAGATGCACCCTTCCAGGGCATGCTGCTAGTGGCCCATTTCCTCTAGTCACATCCCACCTGCCTATAGTTACTACAAAGTCCATTCAAACTAGAATGGACTGACTAGGTTACAGCTCTTATAGTACAATCATTTGAACTCTGAATATTCCTTCAGTAACACCAAAGCTTTGGGAGGATACCTCATATCAAAAGTGTAACATTGAGTGAGATGGAAGCTACTGAGGATTTTGGGCTGAGGAGTAACATGATCTGGCTTGAAATTTTAAAGGAAATCTTAGTTTGCATTAAGTTCAGGGAGCAAAAGAAGAAGTAAGGAGACCACTTAGAAAAGTTGTTATCATAGGAGAGCAGAGTTGATAACTTGAATCAGGATGGTAGTAAATATAGTTAGAGTTGTTTATTAGATTCTGCATATATTTTAATGGATAAAAACGTGAGCAAAGAAATATGAGATAAATAGATGTCAAGGATGACTTCAATTTTTTTTTGTTCTTATTAGAAGAATGGAATGTACATTTACTGAGTTGCTAGAAAAGTGGTTTTGTTGAAGACTTTTTGAAAAAGTCAACAGTGTTATTCCACAAGATATGTTTGAGCTATCTGTTTAATTTCTTAAAACTTTTTGTGATTTAGGTTTATTATTATTATTATTAATTTTTTTTGTGGGAGAAGACATTTTACATAATTTTAGGTCAAAGTTAGTATCTCTGTCATCAAAATTTAATGTAAATGTTCATCTATCATGCTGATCTAAGAGACTTTTTATATTTCAATTTCTTTTCATTATGATAGGTTCTATAAATACTGATATCAGGTCATAAGCATATGATTTTAATTGAGCATTTTCATCACTTGGAAGGTATCTGTAGGGTTCTGTTTGAGTCTCTTCTTTGTATTTACCTTTTTTGCATTAATCACTTCCAATTGAAGGTTAAATGAAAACTCCTTGATTGAACTATTAACTGGAGTTTGCAATATTAAAATTTATCTTGTACTTGCACTGTGGTCTGAAAAATCCTACTGTGTCTGTAGTTAAGGTTGAAAAATATAATCACTGCAAATTTGTATGGGAATGAAAATTCTCCCTTCTTATTTTAACATTTGATAGCTTGGCAAGTATGTACAGTAGCTTGTGATTACTTATAATTCTAAGAATACTACTTGTCATTCAGATAACTTGATCACAGTATTTCTTATATATAAGCTATGTTTTATCCTGCAATTTTAGGTTAAGTTCAGTGGGAAATATAAAATCTGTAGCAAAAACTAGTTACCAATGCACTTTAGTGTTCAGTAGTAGAAGTTAAAAATATGTCAAATTAAGCATTCATCTGCTCCACACAGATTTTTATCAAAATTAGTAATAATGTATCTTAGTAGATTTCAGTTCATGTTACACTGAATTCATGTTTTTTTCATGTTGTTTGTGAGTGTTCTCTTCTGTAGATGTACCATGTTCATAGGGGGCTAACTCTTCAACCACTTCACACTTAGCATTGCCTCCTCACTAACAACTGAACCTATTAAGAGTCAATGAAAACCATTTTAAATCATTTACCCTGTTTTTCTAGTTGGCTATTGACGTTACTACCAATGTTCTCAACCTTTTGAATAACTACTCACCAAAAGATTTATATCGTTAAACCAGTTTGTTTTTTCTGGATACATTTCTTTGACTACTGCTATAAAACATAATTCACCATTGGTAAATGGCTTTCCTTGCTTGACGATGAAATGTGTTACTTAGAAATTTGCTTAGGTTATAATGTTATCATTTGGTGCTTTTGTGAAGAATTCTGCATGGTGATGTACTCTGTTTTAGAATTTTAAAAATTTTTCTGAGTGTTACTTTCCTCTGAGTGGAGAATATTGTGATGAGTGCATAGTTTAGTAATGTTGATGTATCTATCTTCTATTCTTTTAGCATTCCTGGAATGTCACTTCATAATAAACACAGTGCTTTATCATCTAATTTGATAACAGGATAATTGATATTACTCTGTTCATTACAAGTGTGACATTCAAATTCCACTTATCTCTTCTTATTTTTACATGATGTGTTTGTATTATTAATTTTTTAAAATGTGGTACAGCAATACATGTGGAAACTGAAACATTCAGTTATGATTTAATACTGCAGTTTATAGTGTGTCAGGCAGCAGTGTAAATTAATGAGCATGACACATATGGTCTTTTTTGCACCTACTCATCTTTCTTATTATAGCATGAAAGTGGCCATAAATATACATTAAAAAATGAGCGTGACTGTGTTCCAATAAAACTTTATTTATGGGTACTTGATATTTGAGTTTCATGTAATTTTCACCTGCCACAAGATACTCATTCTTCTTTTGATCCCACCCCCCCAAAAACATTTGAAAATGTAAAACTACTTTTAGCTTAGGGCTTTATGATGAGGACAGGCGGTGGGCTGTATTGCCCTAGTTATTTGGTCCCTTCTTTGTCATACATTGTAACTTAAGAGATAGGCTTAAATTGAAAGGCTTCCCTAAACCTTCTAGGGAGAAATTAGTTTTATTTTTCTTCTCATACTATGCTGTTCATATCTGTAATATAATACTTAACTCATTGTATTAGTATAATTAATCATGAATTTGTCCATCTTCCCACTGGCCCTTTGGGGAATGGTAGAGATCATTTTGTATTCATTTTATTTGGTTAAAAAGAGGATATAACCATGTCTTTTATACAAATATAGAATGAATACATGCCAAAGATATTTAACTCGTTAATTAATGAAGGAATCATTCAGGTGTTAAAACTGGTTCAGAGATCTAGAGCACCTTTTATAGATCTATGTGCTAAAATACATGCAAATGGATGCAAAACTGGTCAGTTCTGCTGAAAATAATTTGCATTTCTTATGTATAGAAATTACTTGGGTTATTTTTATCAGTTTTCTATAGTTCAACTTCCATCTCCACAGAGTTGTAAATAGTCAAAAGACAAAATCCCATAACCCTTATTGATTCAGGTAATCCCGAAGCTGCCACCATTCCATGAAAGGATAGTCAGAATATTTTTTGCCCATTTAAACATATTTCACAATTTTTCTCTATAAATTTTATAACCTCTGCCAAATACACTGAATGAAAAGAAACTTCACATTATTTTTTATTTGGTGGTTTGTTCTCTTGTATTAAAATGCATGCAGTATGTGATATTGTTGAATTCCATACTGATTTATCTAAAGCAGCTATGGAAATTATTGTTTATATCAAGTTTTAATGCCTTGTTATCTTCTTATTTTTACATTGCAATTTCTTCATGTGTAAGCTCCTTGAGGAGCTGTCATCCTTCTTTCATTAAAGAAAAGAAGAATCACAATCAATAAAGAAAGCATTCTCAGGTTACAGAAAGTGTACAGGAAAGGATATAAATGAGATTATAAAGCACTATTTTACTAACATATCTCTAGAAAGTTATGTTCATTTTAAACACTAAGTAATAGCAGAGAAAGTTTGGGACCATTATGTGAATAATAACAAGTGAAATATCACTTTGAGAGAGAAATTAATTCTTTTTAAAAATATTTTTTTGTTATACATGGGCACATATCTTTATTTTGTTTATTTATTTATTATGTGGTGCTGAGGATCAAACCCAGTGCCTCACATATGTGAGGCAAGCGCTTTGTCTCCGAGCCACAAGCCCAGCCCAAGAAATTATTTTTTATTTGGTGGTTTGTTTTTATTTATTTATTATGTGGTGCTGAGGATCAAACCCAGTGCCTCACATATGTGAGGCAAGTGCTCTGTCTCTGAGCCACAACCCCAGCCCAAGAAATTCATTATTAAGAGAAACTCACATAAAATGTTTTCCCAAAACAACTCCATGCAGCTGTTTTTTGAATGTAGCAAAGTTGGGCGTGGTGGGGCATGCCTGTAATCCCAGCTGTTTAGGAAGTTGAGGCAAGAGGTTCTCCAATTCAAAGCCAGCCTCAGCAACTTATTGAGGCCCTAATTTACTCAATGAGACCCTGTCTCTAAATAAAATACAAAAAAGGGCTGGGGATGTGGCTCAGTGGTAAGTGCCCCTGGATTTATTCCCCAGTACCAAATAAATAAATAAATACATAGGACTTAAACGTCAAATTTTTACTGCTTTGTATGTTGCAGCTAGAATATTAGTTTTTTTTTAAATATACGTTATTAAAAGAGAACTAGAAAATTTGAATTTTAAGAGTGTAAGGAATTTTATATACAACGATATTAAAAATCAAAACAGCAATAAAATCCT